GGGAACTTTCGAAATTTGCGGCGCTTCTCATTGCCGTCGGTGAGAAGAGAGAGTGCAGACCAAATTCAATTCAAAATTGAAATTCAGGGGTTTTACGGTGAAATTGAAATACATATATTTTACTCTTGGGAATTACATTGTTAAAATACATGTATTTCACTTAAATTCAATTACTTTTTATTTACGTAAAAACAAACAATGATATTGAATTTTAACCCTTCAAATTCAAATACATTGTTTCAAATTCGTGTTACCAAACATACCAGAAAGGGTTTCTGTTGGAGATTTAAGTTCCCACCGGTCAAAGCCACGTTGTTTGGTTTGAGATTCTCTTTTTTTAACAAGAAAATAAATTGAATTAATTTTGTATCGATTTAATTTTGATACACTGATAAGTACATTAAAAATTGATCACAACATTTTAAATTTAATTAAAACTTGAAATTTGTATCATTTTAAATTAATAAAAAATTTGATACATATCAACTGTACCGACTATACAAAACAGTATCAACTCCCTTGGACCAAATACAAAATAAATATAGACATTTGACGTGCACTAGAGGTGGCTTCAATAATTCAATGAACCTCCTCATGTTCTATTGGTCACTTAATAGTAGATTTACAATCTTCAAATCAATAATAAATTGTCCGATAATAAAGATCGAGATCCCACAATTCAGAAGTTATGGTTTTTATTCTATAGGTTTTTTTTTTTTTGATTATACGATGAAAGAAATTATTTTTTATTTTTTATTTCATTCCATCCGTATGTCATACAATTTAAATTCAAAATTTTTTATTTATAGTAAAAAGAAATAACCATCGTTTCTTTAATCTATAGGTTTTATCTACTAGTTTTTTTTGTACATCCCAAAAACTAAATGTAGTATACGCATGAACTGAATATAATCTATAATGTGTACACAAACACCGTCAAGGTGAAATACAATATGAAAGAAAACTTGAGGTCTAATATGTATGTTTTCCAAAAGGGGAAGCTCCAAGCTGAAGGTCCTTCACGAGTAATTGAAGAACTCTTGGGCCTCAATAAACAAATTTTAAAAATCTTCTTTCTAGGGTTTTGTCCTGGTCCCGCCCCAAAATCACGACGACCGATCGGCGGCAATGGCAGAATCGGTGTGCAGGGCACTCAGGGACGGAGGCTTAGAGGGAGGGCATGCGCCTGCTCTCACCATAAAGGACTCCATCGCTTCTCCCTTTGGCTTCGACGTATTCTGCCACGTGCTCTCACAGCTCTCCTCCCTCATTTTGGCGGGAAAATCACAGTCAACGTTTGGCGCTCATTCTCAACGCGAAACGACACTCCTGATGCTAGCCTGCCTTAAAGTTTATTAATTTCTCGTCTTTTATTGGATTTTTGTGCAGAGGTCTTGTCGTCGTTGCGTTTCGCAGAAGCCCGTCGTGTTATGTGGAGCTGCTGGAGAGCAAAGGGATCGATATTGGTTCCTCTAATAAATGGTAAATATTTCTTTTCTTTAAGTTCACTTTGTTTTCTTTTATTTGCTGATAAAATGTTGTTTCTTTCTCGTCATATAATATATATATATATATATATATATATTTAAGTAGCAGAATGGATTAAAATTAGTTTCATTGATTCTGAATACCATTTAGCGTAAATGGGTATGTCTAATAACTTGAAGCTTGTCATGTGTTGGTATGTACTTGTGGGTGACCGAGTGAAATTGCAGTAGCTTTCACTAATTGTGGGACTTGTCTGGATGCAATTATTATCTGTAGGATTCAAATTTTGGATTGTTACACTGATCCTCTAGGGTGGAAATTTCGGTTAATGGATGGTGGAAACATCGCTGAGCTTTCCAGTGAATCTTCAAGTACTGCCATTCTTTGTAAGGATGTAAAGGATGTGGATAAGTTGTACTCTTCAATTATTGAAGTTGGGAAAGGTAATTTTTTTTTTCTAATTTTTTTACAGAGCCGATAAGGAAGATGTGAGGATCTGTTTGAAGCATTTTTGCATGCTGTTTATGGTTGCAGGATTGATAACAGAATCGAGATGTCGTTCCTCTGTGGCCATAGATTCAGTAATTCTGCATCTTATGAATTTCTATGTTTGGCTGGATTTGCTTGATTAATAATAAATTTTTAAATTTGTAAATATGTGAAGTAGGATTGATGTTAATCTTGTTAGTTGTTAGCATTACTCTTGAGTATGTCTTGGATCTTGGGTTACATTCTATTTTTACTTGGTCTAGGAATATGGTTAAGAAATGATGATCTTAGTTTGAATTCTCTGAATGAGTCTTGTTCTGGTGATATGTATGGAAACTTCTCATTAAAAACAAACATGTAATGGAAACAAGAAAATTTTGGAGTATTATGCAAATCCTCCATATGAGGATTGACGAGTCCTTTATCTTGCTAAGAAGGTGCAGGTGCTATGAAACACCAAGATCCAGTCCTAATGTCGTGCCTATGAAAATTATGAAGATGGCCAAAGAAAAGTAAGGCAGTACATGGGGCTAGAAAATCCTTTTTTTTTTTTCACTTTAAAATGATGAGTCATTTTTAAGAAAAACATTTATTTCTTTGTGTAGAAAACCTTACAAAATGAGTCGATGTGATTCATATGAAGGCTCCCATCATGTTTTCATGTTTTATGGAAAGAATTCTGGAAAACTTTTCCAAAATTATACTTTTGTAACTAGCAAATTTTTTTTAAAAAAGTGTACTTTTTATCTCTTGATTGATGCTCATCAGCTGTTTTCTCCATTGCCCTGGGATGATTTTTTTTTCCTTTTTAATCTCTCAGTCATTGGTTCACATGGTAAAGAGGAATGCTAGGACAAGCCAACGCAATTTTATATTTTGGAATAGTTGAAGATAATGGTGGTTTTGTGATACAATAGCTCTATAAAACTAAATTACAATGTCATTTAAGGACAGCATAATCACCAAAATAATAAAGCCTTATCATTTCACATTCTAAAATTTACTATGTCATGGGCTTACTTGGTTCTTGTTGTACGCAAGTAAATGATTTCTTAATAAAGTATTTTGTTAGTTACTTTTTTCCCATTTTAATTGGGGTTGGGGCATCTATTCAATCCCACTCAAATAGCTGGAGAGATGGATGGCCATTTCAAATTATAATACGTTTAATTTTTGGAATAAACATGTCAAAATGATTTTGGAAGTTCTTGAGTAAAAGACCCACAAACTCTGCTGTTAAAGGGTTATTTTGTTGCCAGTGGTGCTAAAGAGGCTTGAATTTGCTGTTTTGCAAAATTTATGGGATGTCAAGGAGGTGGTCTGTGAACATCATTAAGTTTTGTTTTTCACTGAAAACACTAGTGAAAAGAGAAACAAGTTACTCAGAATGGGATGTACTTGTCATTCTTATTCATGCTTTATTCTTGGAGGTGATATATAAAGCTTTATTTTTATGCTAGAGGAAATCAATTAATGTAGCACATAGTTGAGTGATCACTTTATCACGTATTGTGTTAGTTTGAATTCTCCTTTTATTAGGGTCATCTTTACTTTTTCTTCCATTCTGTTGTCTCCCAAAGCTGTAACAGATTCCTCTCTATAGGTTAGGTAGATCAAATGCTGAGACATGCATCTATGTCGGCAGTTGCAGGCCTGTTTAGCAATCTCCGTAGCCATGGTATTACACATGCTATTCCATCTTGATCTATCTCATTGGTTTTGTTTTGTCACATTCCCAGTCCATTTTTGTTTTTCATTAGAAATTTCTGAAATTCATGGCTTATGAGATGCCTGTGATGCACTTCTGGGTACTTTATCTTTGTGCTATGTTATGCTTGCAGGTCAAGTTTCTAGTGTGTTTTGGTTACTACATTCAGATCTTCATGAAGTAGTTGTTACTGCATCTTTGGAATATATGTCCTCTATGGTGGCTAGTGTAGAACCATTGCATCAATTAGAGAATGGACAGAGAGGTGATTCAGAAAATGCCTCTTTAACTGAGGAGAACTTAAACAATGGAAAGTTTCATGTCCAATTTAAGCAGAGGAATGGACGTGTTCGGGTGATGGTACCTTTTCTCCCTCCAACCCTCATCTCTATCTGAAAGGTTTTACTAATTAATAGAACAGCTAACTGATATTATAGTTTTTGAAACCTATATTTAGTTGGAAGAATTTCACATTGAGCAGTCAGGCATCAGCTTTAAGTCTTCTTCATCTGAAGGAGTAATTAATCAAGGTCTTTTACCGAAGGTCAGTCTTTTTCTTTTTTTTTTTTAGGACAAATCTTTTTTACGTGTGCATTCATTGCCCAAATTTAGTTGTAAGTTTCATACAGATCTACTTATTTGGGGGTTGATTTTTCTATTTCTTTTTTTCTGGTATAGGTTCAGTTCAGCCTGCAGTTGTTGGAGGAGGAGCGAATTGATAAGTCTAATGTTGTGCTTCCTTTTGAGCATCAAGGTAAATTCAGTTTTTGTTTGCTTTTTATTGAGGTCCAATATCTTGCATTCTTTCACAACTTGAATCGTTATTAGAACTTCTTTTGTGTCCACATTGGTTGCTTTAGGTAATGGTACACCCATTCAAATTTATGATGGCCAAAAATCTTTGGCGGAAGGCAAACATGAGACAGCATTTGTTTCTGCCAGAAAATCAGAAACAAATGAAGACTATGATGGAAGGGGTGAGATAATTTATTTTCGTGACTCCGATGATGAGATGCCAGATTCTGATGAGGATCCTGATGATGATTTGGATATTTGACTGTATTGGCTCAATTAGCAACCATGAATTCGTGCCCGCTGTTGGAAATTAGTAAGTTCTTCTATTCTTTGTTCTTTGAACATATTTGAGATCTTAGAAGTATAACATCTGGATGAAATTCTATTTTCTATCCAATTTTAAACCATGTAAACTTCATCCTCTTCTTTACCTTTACTGTTGGTTTGTTGGCCACTTACCTTTACTATTGGTTATATTCTCATTTTTTGCTCAAATAAGTCTTGTTACTGACTCAGGCTTTTTGATGGGTTCCATTTCTCGGTCAAATTTTAAGTTGTTAACACCTTTTTGTTTAGTAAAAAAGATACTGCGGAATACATTACTCATTTAAGAAGTGCTTGGCCATTTTTGCAGGACAATTGGAACTAGGCAAAAGTTGGGTTGCCTTTATCTCCAGTAAACTTAACCTCAGCTAGTTGGAAACAGTGACATTGAAAGAATGGCCAGAATTCTCATCAGGCCGACGAAAGTCAGATTGGTATTGGGGCAGGATTGGAGTTTGGAGAATTATGAGGTGATATCATTATCAAGTCTATCCGGGGCTATTTTGATGGTGAAGTAGAGGTGCATCTGTCTCATACTGTTGTTAGTTTTGGAAATATCTTTTTTAGTTATTTCAGGGCTGAGATAGAAGATAATCTTGTATCGCATGAAGGCATCTTTACATTATTCTAGTTCAGAAAAACAAAATCTGTGTTGTTCTTTGGTTGGGAAGAATATTTTGTGTATATATATAACGTATTATGAATTTTCTTTTTCTTAAAAAAATTTAAAAAAATTCATGGCTTATTTTGATATTGTTGTGTTGTGGTTGTTTCTTTTTCTTTTCTTTTCTTTTCTTTTCTTTTTACTTAAAAAAAATTATTGTAATAGTATAAAATATTAATTAAAATTACAAAAATTATGTAAAATATTATTTAAAATTAATTTATTACAATAAATTTCTATTTTATATAAAGTTTTGGTTAAAATGTGTAATATACAATAATCTCAAATGAGCTCTACACTCTCACTCACCCTCTAAATCTTGTGAAGGTGGGATTTGATCTTAAGTCTTTGCTATAATCATTTATTAAAAGAATTTATCAACTCTACATGTATACTCTTTTATGAGAGAAGTTTTATATATGTAATTATTTATATGAGACATTATTTTCCTTTACAAGTGGGAGATTGTTTTAATCCAACATGAAGAAAATGTGTAATCTAGGATTACTAGCCTTTATTCTTTATTCATTGGAAAATTTAGCCGCCCTAATTGATTCCAACTTCCAAGGCCACGGATATTATAAATTCCTTGACCTTTTAATTAGAGATTGGTTCATCCAACCCACCATGTGCTCCATATTGTACAAAAAGCTCGAGCTAAAGTCAAGATGCTACACAAGTGCTTACTTTAATTTTTTTTTTTATTTTATGTAAAGTATATACCATAGATTACATTCAGTTAAAATAGATATTTAATATAATACAACTCAACATTTAAAAAATAAATTAGACTAACAAATTATTATAAAACCAAAATGACAATGCATTAAAATTCAGTTTTGTGGTGATTAAGACCATATGATAGTATTTTAAAACAATATTGCAGATCAAACCTGTTGAGTAGTTTGCAAATGTTAAGGTCCCACATCAAGAAAATATGAGAAGTTAAAGGAATTTATAAAAGCTTATTTGTTATCAACAAATAGATAAATAAAGTGAAGCCCAAGATAAATTGGGCCTTGCCCTTTATATATAGTCAAAGATGGGCACTTGGGCACACCTTGGGGCTTGACTTCCAAAATATTTATTTTTTATTTTCGGATTTTTAATTTAATTTATTAAATTTTAATTTGAAAAGACATGTCTGAATATTGGATAACTTTTGGAAGTCTAAAGGTACCTCTATGAAATTGTATCTTTCTAAAGGGATACATCCCTACAAGTAGTGGCTTTTCAATCAATATAAATTCTTATGCAAAATCAAAGTTCTACATCTAATCTTTGATAGAGTTTGAGTTCTGTTGTATCCTGGAGGATTTTTGAATCCTTAAGGAGAGTAAGATCACGCCTCAGAATTATCTGTTTTTTCATTTTGATAATCCTTATCTATAACAAAACCTAATAAAAGGAAAATGTGGTAATGGTGCTAAATTACATTTTAATTTGAGCAACTTCTCAAAGTAAGGCTATTGGATGCATGGTGATGACCACTGTATAAACCCAACAAAGCCTCGTATTTTGGTAGGGAAAAACACCGATAGGGAAGTATGTAGTATAAAATTTTCTTTGAGTGAAATGGAGAAATTTCCAACTTCCCTCGAAGGTACCAACTTGAATTCAGGTGTGGGAACGTTGGAAGCTGCTGAGGGAGATTGAAGGCTTACTCTAAGGGCTCTTAGTCATGCCTCAATTTCGTTAAACCAAACTAAGAGCATAAATTGCTTGGCATAGCAGTAAGAGCTTAAGCTCGAATCCTGTTGTGTACACATTTAATTTAAGTTTATGTTGGTTTCATGTAGTTTGTAATTTAATAAACACTAATATTACGTTTTGAAGATACCAAATTACTAATTATGCGGTTATAAGCTATTCTTGGTATGTATATTTAGGTATATATTTCTATTTTTTTTTAGTCTTTGGTGAATTCATTCTTTTTTTTTTAATTTCTGATTTTGTTGGTCTACGCACTTATTTCATGACACTAAAGATCAATATAGGTACGAAGAAATTAACATCTCCTATATGATTAGTAATTCTGCAATTTGCAATTAAAAGAAGAAAAGAAAAAAACTACTACAAATCTTGTGTCTTTAAGACATTTCTTCTCTAGTGAATAATTACAACTTGCAAATGCAATCCTAAGTTATATATATAGAGGTATGTCACCCAAAACTAACAACTAGATGAGTTTGAGTTTTTAAAAATTTAAGTCACGAGTTCTAGATCATAAGGGGGGCTTTAGCTGGTGGTTCAGTTGACTCCGGCTGTAATTCGAGAATCCACTTAATAGTAAGACTTGAGGCATGCAGGTGACAATGTTATTTAGCATGACCCTTATTTCTCTTTTATTCTTCTCCCTAAAACAAAGCATAGCATGAATTAAACCGTCTATTTTTCTTTGATTAATGCTTCGTTTTTTTTTTTT